GTCTGGTGGGGTCACGGGTCACGGAACAGTGTCACTGCCGGGGTTCACGAACAGCGTTATGTCTCACCGGGCGTCTCCATACTCGCCGGCTCCGACACCGGCTCACACCCCATCTCTCAGCTACTTGAGTACCAGCCCGACTGCCGACACTTCGGCCAGCAACACAACCCTCTGGGGCAACTACGACACAGGCACAACTCTTCAGCAGTACGGAGTAGTTGCATCGGCTAACTCGGCAGCATCGAGGGGAAGAACGCAGTCCATGTCGGCGGCTGCGTCCCTCACAGCTAGTGAGTACACGTCAAATGTTTATTTGTCAAGGTGGTGGTACTTGTAAGATTAGCATTCAACCTGTCGCGTGACAGGCAGGTGAGAAGCAAATTCCCAATAAAATTAAAATTTGGGCGAGAAAACAATGAAGTCATTTTCGGTGTTTAGGCGGGTCGAAACGGAATAAAATTCCAACGTTCTGTAAGCTTATTTATGAGTTACTTTCCTTGCTGATAGTGCAGAATACCCGAAAAATCTTATCTGGATTTTGCCTTCATGGAAACTAAAGGTGTTATATTGATAGAGAATTACTTGATGATTCGGTATGGATCGTTTTATCTTGTCTGGATCGGTTATTTTTCCCCCCATCCCCTTCCTATACGTGCTTCACAGGACGTTCCTGAAGTAAAAATTTGTCATGGCCACAATTACAAACAAGAAGTACGAGGTGCGATCGAAAGGTTTCCAGACTGCGCGTATAAAAACCCGTACACTTATCTCAGGTATTAAATTCATCCATCACCCTCGAAGTAGTTCCCCTGGGAGTGAACACAACGATCCCAGCGCCGCTGCCAAGCCTGGAAGCATCCCTGGAAATCTTTCTTTGTCAGCCTGTCAAGCACCATCTGCGATTCTGCCTGAATCTCTTCTATCGCCTCAAATCTCCTTCCCTTTAGCTGAATGTTCATCATTGGGAAGAGGAAGAAGTCACACGGAGCTAAATCCGACGAATAAGGAGGGTGCGGGATGACGGCCATAGTGTTTGAGGCCAAAAACTGCCGAACTTTGAGGGCGGTGTGCGCTGGCGCGTTGTCATGACATCATCGACAGAGGTTCGGTCATTTTTAAAACGTGAATGCCACACAAACGTTTGTGCACGACCCATTGCGGACTCCCCAAATGCTTGCTTTAGCATTTCATAGGTTTCCGTAGCCGTTTTGGCGAGTCTTTGGCAAAATTTGATGCACACGCCATTCCGAAATCGCAGGAGGGTCGGTGTAATGCACTACCAAAACGCCCGTAACTAAGAAACAAATGCTAATTTGATGATGCCGGCTGGCACACTGATTCACTATGAATGTAGGCCGCACTCCTAAAGGCAGAAGCTCGTACTACATCCGGTTCGCCCGCTATTGACACAGTCTAGAAACTTTCCGATCGCACCTCGTATGATGTGGTTCCCTTCAGAAACACTATGCGGCTTTGGCTTCTCAAAAAATCTTAGTGAAGTTAATGCCACAAAATTAACTAAGAATATTTCTCCATCTGCTGCCCGACATCTAAACTACTTTGAACTTCATCCAGTACACCTGAAGTATCTCTTGCTCGTAACATGTGATTCCAGCACCCGTCAAAGGATGTCAGCAACATTTTGGTGCGGATTTTCTAAAATCAGTGAACTGGAATAGTATTATTCAGACTTGCAAGAAACAAGAATAAGTTCAACGACAGGAACAAAATTAGGCATTACCTCATATTTGGCATATTCAAAAATTTTCGTTGTTTAAATCATTGTCGTCAGACGTTTTTGGCACATTTCCAATTCAAGGTTAACTACGTTTGAATATCAAAGCACCAACGTGTGGACGAATCGTCTTGTCCTGGACGTAATGATGTGGGACTTAGAATGGCTTCCAGTACCTTCATAATATTTAAGACATTTTACTGTTTTTCTGCTACTTTTAAGGTGTCTGCACAGGCAAATTATGGGAAATTAAGAGATCTCCAGTCATTTTCACTGTCCTCGTTTTAAGGATGTGTGGATAGGATAAAGCGATCATCGACATGCAAGTTATATGTACTCAAATTATCAAAAATTTAATTTGTTGTGTACCTGTATTAGAAAATATGTGATTGAATTTTTTGAAGGAAAATAGTTCCCCATTTGGACGGTTGCACTTTCAGGCCGCTGTTAGTTCATCGTTGTTTTTCTGGCAGCATCACCATTAGTTCACATAGTGTACCAAATTTCATGTCTACAGTTTCGTGTCTTTTCCGCTCCACAGGCCTTTGGTAAGAATCTGTCAAAGTCCGATAACACTAAGGCGCCCAAATACATGCAGGTCTATATACGTCTTATCAAATTAAGGCGATGACATATGTGGGTCATGTAGCACGCATCAGAGAGATGTGAGATGTATGGACAGTCTTCACGAGAGACGCTGAAGGCAAGGGGCCTAGCTATAATTAGGACAATTTTAAAATGTATGTTAAAGAAAGTGAGTGTGAGGATGTTGACAGCATTCTTACGGTTCACGATAATTCTTGGTGGTGCGCTCTTGCGAAAACAGTGGTAAATATATGATTTCAAGAAAGGTAGAGAATTTGCTCGTCATTTGAGCAACTGTCGTATTATAAAAAGGACTTTTATCCATGGAATTTAGTCGTCATAAACAACATATCTCATACAGACGTGAAACTTGGCTTTTATCGACAATTTGCTTGTAATTTTTAAGTTTTATGATGTGAATTTTTCATCTCTTAATGAAAGTTCTGCTATTCGGGATAGACGTGTGTTTCAAAGAAAACTTTTTTCTTCTGCTGAGTTTGTTTATAAACCTGCTTTCTGGTTACGTGTGGAATTTTAAACCATAAATTATTACTGTAAAATATTTGCCAGAATCTGCGTTGCCTTCGATTTTGGAAGTGGTTTATTTTATGCAACTGTTTTCAAATAACGTCAGTGCATTATTTTATGATATTCTGATAAGAAAAGAGATAAAAATCTGTCCGTCTGCTCCGCTGTCTATTGACAGACCCAACAAGTGTTCGCATTTGTTGCTTGCTGCACATCACTGGGCTTTCAGACTCAACTCTTCAAGCACAGAACAGAACAGAACAGAACAGAAGCATTCTTTCTATACTGACATCCGTCACGTTTTATCTCGAGCTCCATATAACCAAGAGCTTCTCGTCTCACCTCATGCAGTCCCTACTCTGCCTCAAGCTTCCGAAAACCCTGTTTACATTACCGAGGACATTGATCTGTTTTCCTTACGAATGTCAGTTTATAAACAGCAATTATTTGAAATAATCTTTGTCTGAGTCATATTCACACACACGACGTTTCCGGAGAACCATCTTGTCACCGGGTGAGGCACATGAAATTCCTCGGTGCATTCAACACAATTCAAGAAGGTTGAATTCTTTCACGGAATTAATTAATATTAAATCTTTGGTTAAAACTATTGTGGGCCACCTCTACATTTATGTGTAGAGTTAATTAAACTTCCAAATCCTTACATAAAGTAGTTGCCTGTCTGTTGGGAACATGGTAAAAGGCTGGGAAATTCCTTGACCAGCTTATCGACGAATTTGTTTAATGGAGTTCGTGATCAAACAATTAAGGAACATTATAATATTACGTTCCCTTTACAGTCCGTCGCCTATCGACGTCAGTCTCGTTTTAAAATACATGAAAGCAGAATCGAACGAATGCCACTTTTAGGAGGAGTACACTTCCTCTTGAGCAGCGAACTCAGTTTAATTTGTATCCATTTAAAACATTTAAGGGGGATGGTTACTGGTCGGTGTGGCACTGAGGCAGGAAAAGGGCCTGCTTGTTTTTTTATCATGTCGTGAGCGGCAGTCAATTTAATTGAGATGGCGTTTGCAAAAATAAAATATTCTTACATTTTTCGGACAGTGAATCGCTTTGGTGTAATTTCTGTCACCGTATCAATTTATGAAAGTTGTAGGCCTATGTAAAGGTTCGTTTGTTGGTAACCTCAGCCATGGAGAAAAATAACGAAACAAAAGACCAGACAATGTTGCTAGTTTATAATTAACTCGCGGTTCATTACACTCACAGTTGCAGCTGGTGGGGATGGATGTGTATCACCTAGCAGTCTGGGCCGTATGCTTGCCATTAGTGCGTGGACTAATAGCTTTCTAATAACTGTTACTGCTGACTATTTGCTCCGTGTCAACAACCCAAAACTTAGGTCGTGATGACTTTCGATGTTTGAGTGCGTCATCTAGTAGTACTTGCGCACTTTGACCGAGCAATGACAGTTCCTGGTATGTCGGGCGTACAAAGTTTCCTTGTACATACATACAAATTTACGTGCAAAGATTGGGCTCAACAAAATATCAAAGGTCGCGTTTAAATAGGCCTATGTCCTCCTCGGGTTTTATATTCATGAACATGTATGAGTGTTGCTGAAACAATGGTTATTATTGTGTAGACTTGTATCTGACAGGTATCCCTTTGAATCTTGACAGGACTACTTGCTTTTCTGATCGTGATTTTACTTAGCCATTTCAGGTGAATGCCGCGATTGTACTTTCAAATATACCAATATCGCTTCATCTTTGATTATTACCTACTCAAATTTCGCTAATGCCTTTCCATCTACTACGACGTCTTATAACCTTTGAAGTCGAAACAGCGTCGCTAAACAACTTATAAATCAATAGATCAAACAAAGCTCAAGCATTTCAGTTATCGACCGAGATACCCCCACGGCACTGACTGAGGGATTTTATCTCATTCCCCCCCCCCCCCCCCCACCCAA